TCGGGGTTGGGGCCGATATCTACTGATGTTAGGTATACCCGTGCCCGAATCAAGAAATTTCGCAAATATAGAAAATGCCAAACGATATGCTCTTGTCATATTTCAATGTCTTTGACAAATTTGTTTCCTGAAACGTATGTTTAACCACAATTTGTATATTTTCTTAGTGTGTATAAGATTCATTTGTGTTTTTTCATTCCGTTACTAGCCTGCAACGATCTACTGCATATGCCTGATGTGAGTGAATACGCTACGACATGGTTCACTATTCTGGTTACTGAAGACCTTCACATGGTAATTATTTATCAATTTACTTTCATTTTAACCATAAATTCAAAATAACTTTGCTAATGACATTCTATATACACTTGCTTAATAGAGAATTCCAAATTGTATGCACCGCCATCTGATGCAACATCTAACGACAAAAGCACTATTGTGGCATTATAGCGCATGGATAGAAGTTTGTGTCGAAGATATGCAATTTACAACGGGAATTAGTGAATTCAAGATCGAAAATGATTTATACCCGGAAGACATTGTCCTATTTCGACATACCGGATTCTTCATTTTCGAATGTTATTTTTTTAGCGTAGACTCTTACAGTCCAAAGAGAGAATTTAATCAATTTGGTGAAATGAGAAATACTCGGCGGTTTGATCCAAGTAACATTACATTTACACTGCATAAGGTTTACTGTATATTTGACTTCTAACATACTAATTCATTTATATATTATAGCGTACATCACTGTGCCAGCAAGGTCTGTGATTGAACCAACATATGACTTTCTTCAACTGGAGCCATGTAGATCTTTATATCACAATTTCGGTATGCTCTTCGCGTTAAGGAAAAATTAAGCATTCAACTAACCATTAAATACATGTCATTACTTACGAATCTCCTCTTACTTAAATATAGCGTGACCAATTGAGTGAATTTCTCCGCGACTCAATCGAAGTGGATGAACCTTTAATTTTCATGGTTGGAGATAGGACTCTATTTCGACTACACATTAATATTCTATGACGAACAGTGGGAGCAAATATACGATCATTTTCAGTTTGATGGATGTGACCGTGTGGTATTCTTCAATGTCGTGCAACATGTTATACTCATGCTACCAATTGCTATCTCCTGTAACGTCGAGAAAATTTATCCGTGGTCCGTCAATTACCATATTTTGGAGAATGAATACGGCGAAATCCACCAGTTATCGACGTCAATGAGATGATTTTGCATTTTGAAAGCTCAATTTCTGTAATGCTTTAAATATTTGTTCCTTTCATTTTGATTCCCGTAGTAAAAGGTTGTATTTTTATCCATGGCGAATATGAGCCCTCAATATTTACTATCACCTATAATTTAAAAAAAAACATTTGTTTATATTTCGTTAAAAACAAAAATAATTTCGCAAAAAAAAAATGGAAATTGTATTTAAAACAAAAAATTTTCGTTAAAGTTAAAAAAAAATTAATTTTGAAAATAAAAATTCGGAATTTTTATTTTAGAAACATTATTCGATACATGTAATGGAATTTATTATAGCAAATATGTTATAATTTAAAAAGCGAACAACACCTTAACAAAATTTAAATTTTATTAGCAACATATTACACCACCATTTTTTTTTAATACTACTGACTCTATTACAAATTTATAACATATATTCTAATCATACGAACAACAACTACAATTGGAACAATCGCTTCTGTTGCTGTTGGCAGAAATCGCATAAGATGATGCACATCTTTGTCTTTTATGATCCCTTTAGGCAGCAACAATCTTCACGGGAAGAAACACAAAGTCTGTAGGATCAGTCTTTCTGCTACTCCGAGCCAAGAGGACCCATTGCCTCTTGTAACCATGAAGGTAATATATATATATATATATATATATATATATATATATATATATATATATATATATATATATATATATATATATATTTTATAATTACTTGTTGAGCCTTTGATGGCGATTCTAGACACTTCTGGAAGGAGTAAAGAACCACAAGGAAAATGATGGTGTGGGAGAGGAGTGTGAATAACCCAACCCAACCAATAGGCTCACATAGTATCCACTTTTCAATTAAAATCCACAACATATTTTTATTAAGAATAAAAATATGTCGCGAGAATTAATTGTAAGTTGTTTGCTAATCGCGAGTCTTAATTGTAAGTTAATAAAAAACGCTAACTCCGCATAATTTGTATCTGTAAATCAAACACATAAAAAAAAATTTAATTACAGCCCGACACAAATAAATTCTGTATAAAAAAATATTTTTGCAAATAAAGATATACACATTAACGGAATACTATATATACATACATAAATTTACAACATATACATATATACGGAGTATATAATACGCTTACTTTTTCTTTTTATTTCTTCGAAAAGTTGAAAATCGAAGCCACATCCTCTTAATACCATATTTGTACATCGATGCCACATCCTCTTGTCTCGCCTGACAGCTCCGTGTGCTAGCTGGCGGAGCTGTCCTCATCGGGCAGTGTACCGAGACAAGACGTTTCGGCTGACTGCCCCATGTGGGCTATCAGCCGAGACCTCTTGTCTCGGCTGACAGCTCCACGTGCTCACCCAATGTTATGTGCACGCGAAACTGTCCACACGGGGCAGTGCACCGAGACAAGACATCTCGGCTGACTGCCCCATGTGGGCTGTCAGTCGAGACATCTGGTCTCGGCTGACACCTCCGCGTGGTCACCCATATTAGATGTGTGACCACGCGGTGCTGTCCACAACGGTCAGTCAACCGAGGCAAGACGTCTCGGCTGACTGACCCATGTGGCCTGTCAGCCAAGACATCTTGTCTCGGCTAACTCAGCTACGCGTGCTCCCCAAACAGGGGCTGAGAGCACGCGGTTGGCCACAATGGCCGTTCAACTCCACGTGTAGATATGTTATGTTGTTTCTATTTACACACAAAAAGTACTTCTAATATATGAACTATCATACTTTTAATACTCGGATCAGGTATCACATGGCTTGTGCAATTAATAATTAAATTTTTTGAATGAATTATACAACTTTGAGTATAAATATGTTCATTTGCCTACATGAGTCTAACAGAGCTTATTATATCCCTTCCTTCATCACATTTCCCTACAACTTTCTTTCTTCACATCTACTATTGTTTTTACATTTTCATTATGATTCCATTGCTGCAACTTCGGTTTTTTATTTGTTGTTTTAGGTTATCTAAAATTTCAAAGTTTTTTTCAGCACATGTTGTGCTCATTGAAATGATATTGACTTTCAATTAATTCTCACGATTCTATTCTCAATCCAAGAGATAGAAATATTGAATTACCACGAAGGGCATTCAGAGGTGGTTTTGGCGGCAGGTACACTCGCATTGTACTCGGAACGACTATGGTTGGAGGCCGAATCAGACTACTCTTGGTGATGTGTCCTCGGGTTGCACCTATGGGCTGGGTTGCACCCATCATGTTCATTGTTTTTCCTAGGGAGGTGCAAATAATGTTCCGGGAAAGACTATGCATAAGGACAAACTGGTAGCCCAAATATATGGCAATTAAGGGTGTACACCTTTTAATCTTGAGTTTTTGCTCCATATCGGGTTTTTCTGATACCTGAGCTCAAACTCGGGTTTAAATTCTTTAGTTTTTGCCCCAAATATTTTTTTCCCATTGATAGCTTATCCTTAAAATATGATGTATCATATCGTGTTTTTTGTAATTTTCGGAAATGTAAAGTGCAATATCATATAAAAATATATATAATTATAAAGTATTTACTTCTAGTTTTTTGTACTACGTGAATTATTTACTCACACTCAATACTTACTTACTCACACTCAATACTTACTGTTGAAATACCAAAATATCATATAAGAAATTTGGCATCAACTATATTATTTGTTAACATAACCACCAAAACTATTAACACTTTTGAAATGAGTTAATACCCAAAATCGTACTCGACTATAGTGGTTTTTTTTAATTTCGTCCTAAACGACTTTGGTGACCTAATATCGTCCCAGACTTTTGTGTTTCGCTCAATTTAGTCCTCCATTTGTTATTTCGTCAAATTGGTGTTAAATAAAGGGGCAATTCAGTAATGTCAATATTGATCTCTCTTTACTTTCAACTTGTGAAGTGCGAAATTCCTCTTTCTTGTACGAATTACACCCAGAATTACTCCCGGACCTGCAAATCAAATTTTATATTCGCAGTTTTAGGATTAATTCTGGGAGTAATTCGTAAAAAAAAAAAAAAAATTCGCAGTTCACATGTCTATGAATAAAGAGATGTCAATATTAAAATTACTGAATTGTCTATTTATTTAACACCAAATGGACAGAATAACAAATGAGGGACTAAATTGAGCAAAAACACAAAAGTCTGGGACTAAATTGAGTGAAACACAAAAGTCTGGGACGATATTAGGTCACCAAAGTCGTTTAGGACGAAATTGAGAAAAGCCACTATAGTCGAGGACGATTTTAGTTGTGTTTTGAGATTGCAAAGATGTAAAAGAAAAAAAAAAAAGAAAATAGTGAATGAAATACAAATTTAAAGATGAAAAAAAAAATCACTTTTGAAAGTAAAAAAGTATTACAGAAATAAGAATAACCTTATTATTTATGAGATGTGATTGCATACAGATCACAATCACACACACATGCCAAATACAGAAACCACATCAAGATGACAAAATTAGTATAAAACACAACATTGAAAAATGCTACAACTGGTCCCCCATTTTGACTTTTAATGACAACTTCAAACTTGCCGTCTAGATAAACCCTACTCCCAATGTTGTTAGTCCACAAGTCATACAGGAGAAGTAAATCATACTAAAAATATCTTGTAATCTAGACTTAACTAAAAAGATATTGACAAGAATCAAACTCATGACCTTAATATATGAAAATCATACTCCACTTTACTCGACAATCCCTTTTGGGGCTACAATAACATTTATTGTAAGCATACATTAGTAACATGTAAAAAACATGGACATCATGTTTACTTATACAACAGAAAAATAGCACACATGAATTATATTGATAAGATTAAGCATCTCACATCACTGTCTCAAATGCATGTGGATTTATTACTTAAGGAACAAGGCTTGCTTGCATTATATTCCTGAGGAATGGGGACAATCAGGGTTTAAGTACTTTAACGAGCAAGCTACATATCCAAATGTTGTTTAATTTGCTTACTTCACTTCTCAGATCGTTGCTGCTTCATCATCTCTTTGACATTATAAAGTGTGGTGTGCACTTCATCAAAATGTGGAGCAGTTGCTTCCTTCACATCTTCAATCCATTTCACAACTTTCTTGAATGGGCTTAGTATTCTGTCATGATCCTTCTCATCCACAACCTGAATTGCAAACAGTTTTTTGCCTCAAGAAAAATGATATAATTACCAACTTTAAAAGGTTTTGATATAATTGTCGCAGCATATATACAAAGGCATAGCAGATCACTTCTTTATCGGGCGCTTGACTAGCGCCTAGGCGGTCGAGTAATTCGAATATATCGTCTCCACTTTTCCTACTCAGTGCTATGAATTGTTAGACTATTATAATCCCACAAATTAGTCAACTACATATGTTAGATGGTTAGTTGAGTACATGGCTGGAGGAATATAGAAGAGAAGCAACCAAGCAGACAAAAAGTTGGGTGCCCAACTCGGCGGCGCCTAGTCGGCCAGCCAACTAAAAGCCGCCTAGGGGCTAGGCCGATTTTTACAACACTGATCATATTCATAAATCCTACAGAGTACATACCTTCAGACAAAAAGCAGGAAAAAAAAGGGATTTCCATACCTGTAGTTCTGTTATTTCACAAATTAAGCTAAGGTCTGCAATGGAAGGTTGGGTATTTCCGAGTAGAAATTTTCCATTTCCCTGGAGCCAGAAGGAGTCAATCTTGTTAAGGGAAGCAGACAGCAGTTTCTCGCCTTCAGCTGCTGCTTGTGAGTTTAAAGGCAAGCCTAATGCAGGTGCAAATGTACCATTCAAAAGATACCCAACTGCCAAAACAAGGTAACAATTGTAAATGTAGTGATCTTCATACACAAAAATATAAACAACTTATTCACTCTTGCTAAAATTAAATGTTCACATAACTTCATCCTACTGAAATTTTTGGACTAAATGTGAATTAACTCTAAAATTGAAAACTAAAAGTGGAAGAACAAATAACAAAGAAAAGAACCTGAGCCACGGCGTAAGTTAGAGTGGTGCCAGTCTAACACCGAGTCTACCATTGCTCTTTCGCGTAGATCAGCTGGGTACCTTTCAAAGAAAATGTGTTGGGCAGTAGAAATTAATGTCATTTCCATATGGTATAAAATGTCATTATTTAAAACATTATAATCAGGAATTTACGGGGAAAAAAACATAAGAAACTAAACTCACCAATGATCAGCAACATTATTTGCACAAGCAAGATATTTGAGAATTGCATGACTGGAAAAAACATAGCATTTGTTAGAACACATGTTACTCAAAGGTCATCATAAAGCTCAAAGAAGAGTTCATATTTTCCTTTCATTATTCCAATCTTGTTTTGGAAGTTTTGGTGTTATTTGGACTGTTGTGGGGTGAGTTTTAGAACCTATGAACTACTGCATACCCAATTTGCTAAATGGATATGAAATGCCACACTTGTGAGAATGTGGAAGTTAGGTGCTTATTAGCAATTAATTAACAGATATTGAATTGTATTAGCTAATAACGGATTTTGCTAGATATTCTGACCAACTGATAGTATAAGCTACATGTAAAAAAAATGTTTCTGTGGTCCTAGATTTATAAGTGGCAATCTACTTTAAGTCCTTTTTTATTAGAACATTCATTTTCGGTTCTAGTATTATTGTGGCATGATCATTTTTTTTTGTCCTTTATCAACAAAGTAGTTTAAATATCGTTAAATACAAGGATATTTCGGTCTTAAATTATGGTTTTTTTTTTTTAAATAAACATAAAAAATATAGTGGTTCAACATACTTTGTATAAAAAAGATTGAAATGTCTTTTGTATTTAACGACATTTCAACAGTTTTGTTGAAGGAAGACTAAAAATAGTCCTGCCACAATTATAGTAAGACTAAATGAAGATGTTTTAATAAAAAAAGGACTAAAAAAGTGAAATGTCACTTATAAATCTAAGACCAAAAATGGAATTAACTCTATAAATTAGAGTAATATTATATAAATATAAATTAGTGGGTCAAATAAATTTTTTTTATTATTATAAGGAAAGGGATACCCTACATATACACACTATTGCCTCAACTAAGATTTGAACCTTACACATCCCACTTAGGGGAGCAACCCGATATCAATGGACTACAAACCACTTGGTAGTGAGTCAAATAATTTTTAATCTAAATAAATGCAATTTGCTTAGCTAAAAAAGCGACTTTTGACCTCAATTTGCTAATGAATTCCGTTGTTTACCATCAAATAGCTAAAATGGGGCAAATTCGTCAAAAAATTGACTGAATCCATCATTTATCAAACACTCTTTATAAAAAATTATTTCTTCCACCAAATTAAGAAAGTATCACCTTTCAAACAGCGTGAAGTCTCCATCCACCATCGCAGGCACTTGTTTCATGGGGTTAATTTCTGTAATAAAAAAATACAAAAAAAAATATTATCTAGAGAATTATAACAGTTACACATTTACAGGTTCGTAAAAAATATTTAATAAGAAATTGGATATTTACTTCATTGTTTGGTTTATGAAAAATAAGTTATTAGGAATAATTAATAATTTAATATAAACAATTAAATATCCTTATATAATAAAAATATAAAAATTCATATTGTAACTTGAAAAATAAAATATTAAAAGAAAGTACGAAATTTATTAATAAAAAAATTGGAGGATTAAAATAAAATAATGAAAAAGGCAAACCTCCGAATTCGGGAGTTCGATGCTGGGCTTTAGAGAGCTCTATTTGGACTTCTTCAAACTCTATCCCATTTGCCCTACACAGTTCAACAAACATTAATTTTTACACAAATTAAACCAAAAAAGTGATATGATTCGAACAAAAAATCGAAATTAAATCCTCCAAGGCTGCGAGATTGTGGAGTTATAGCAAGAGCGAAGAGGAGAATCTTACTTGCAGAAAATGAGAAGAGCACGAGAAGGCTGGGACATACGATCAACATACAGTTTCAACGTCATCTCTTCTCTCTCCGGCGGCGATAACTGAATTGGAGATTTCGATATATTTTGAAATTGTGGCGTTCGATTGCGGGATTTAAAGTGGGAACGACGGACGACTCCAGCAATCCGCAGGCCACAACCTATGACTTTTGAGTTTTGAGCAATGGTGAGTGAGACCCATTGATGTGATTGTTGTCTGTAAAATTATATGAGTTAATTCCCAAAATCGTCATCGACTATAGTGGTTTTTCTCAATTTCGTCCTAAACGATTTTGGTGACCTAATATCGTCTCAGACTTTTGTGTTTTGCTCAATTTAGTCCTCCATTTGTTATTCCGTCAAATTGGTGTTAAATAAAGGGACAATTCAGTAATGTCAATATTGATCTCTCTTTACTTTCAACTTGTGAAGTGCGAAATTTCTCTTTCTTGTACGAATTACACCCAAAATTACTCCCGGACTTGCAAATCAAATTTTATATTCGCAGTTTTAGAAGTAATTCCGGGAGTAATTCGTAAAAAAAAAAAAAAGATTTCGCAGTTCACATGTTTATGAGTAAAGAGATGCCACTATTAAAATTACTGAATTGTTTATTTATTTAACACCAAATGGACAGAATAACAAATGAGGGACTAAATTGAGCAAAAACACGAAAATCTGGGACTAAATTGAGCGAAACACAAAAGTGTGGGACAATATTAGGTCACCAAAGTCGTTTAGGACGAAATTGAGAAAAACCACTATAGTCAAGGACGATTTTGGGTATTAACTCAAAATTATATTTTCAGTCACTTTCGTTCAATATTTGAAAATATTACATTCAATTCCATTTCTTATTCCTTCTCACATGTACACACATTTACTGGAACTCAAATGATGAAAATAGTCAATCTTTGTTTCTCATGTTATAAAAGTGAGGGAATAGAATTTGAAAGTACATGTAGTAGAACTCATAAATAATCCCTCTGACTCATTTATGTGCTGAAGTTATTTACAGTTTAATTTTTTATAATATTAAGTTTAAAATTAGTATCTAAAATTTATATATTTAGAAATTATATTTAAAATGCTATTAAATACACAAAAATTAAATTTTAAAATTATAAAAAAATGCTAATAGAAATAAAAAATGAAAAAAAGAATTTTGTTTGACCAATAAATAGTAAGTAAGATAGATAAAATTAGACCGATGAAGTATAATTTTTATTGGGCGAAGAAAAGTAAAAAATAAAAATAATAGTCAATTATTTTTGTAGATCAATTACAATATGATTTCTGTTATGCTTAAGCGATTCTAGGATTTTCAGTTTCATCGGACTAATTTTAAATTTACAAGATCCAATCTTTAGAGTCACTACAGAAGTAAATCGTAAACCTCCATCTTTTGTCGCGACATCAAGTCAGGCCACAAACTATTACCTTAAGTCTTGATTTGTGTTTGAATTATTAAAACTAATATATTTTTACGTCAAATTTAAAATATTATACATTATATTTTAATTTGACAAAATTGTTGTCATTTTATTACAATTCGTTTGGTCTCCCGTCAAGACTAATGAAAGAAAATCATTTCTTTTAAAAATAAAAATAAAAATAATTAAAGTAAATATCATCACAATATAATCATACCATATTTAATAGTAATTATATATTAATTTTAATAAAAAATTATTGGCTCACGTGCTTGAATTATTATTTTTTTTTCGCATATTTAGGGGTTAAAAAAATATTTTAAATTTACTTTTTTATTAGTATATATTTTTATTTTTAAATATTTTTAACATTAGGCTCAATCATTTTTTTTATCAAATGCTCAATCATTTTGTCACACTAATATACCCAAAAAAAAAAAAAGTCTAAAAATGAAAAAGTCGTATCTTCTCTCCCTATCCCTATCCAGCGGGATAATAGAATAAAAAAATTGGATATTTTAAAAGAGTTTTACTACATATATTCTCTATTTCTATTCCATTACTTTTACTCTGATGTGGTAATTGATAATTAGTTATATTCATTACTAGTAGGTGCACCCGCGCGATGCGCGGCTATATATATAGTATGATATATATACAGTATAGAATATAGTTATTTGAACCTGACTATTAAATGTGAAATGAAAAACTTGTGATTTTATTACACATTGATGAATATAGTAATTTTATTAGACATTGTTGAAGACTTCATTGTTGAAACAATGTGATGCATGGCTACCTATATAGTACATAGAATATTACGTATAATATAATAAGAATAAGAAACCTAGTATCTAAAAAAATACTAAATTTTAAATAATAAATTCTGGAATGTTATTATACATTATTGAAGACTTCTTTGTACACAACATTTTTAGTCGTACTAAGACATGGTACACTTTCCCCGCAAATCAAAATTTTCAAACCCCTGGGGTTACTAACTCTTGAAACAGCTACGTACAATTGTCCATGGTTAAAGACAGGTTTTTTCAACAACAACCCCACTTTAGCAAGCGTTTGTCCTTGACTTTTGTTGATTGTCATGGCATAGGATAACATCAAATGGAATTGTTTTCGTTGAAATTTGAAAGGCAATCTTGGATCTAACAGTGTAAGTGACATTCTAGGAATCAATACTGTGGTTCCTGCATTTGTACCGCACATGATCTTGCCTTCCAACACATGGTCAGCCAACCTTGTAACAATCAACCTTGTACCGTTGCATAATCCTAGTGTGTGATCAATATTTCGCAATAGCATAACAGGTGATCCAACTTTCAATGTCAAAGCATGATTTGGTACTCCAGAAGATCTCAAGGCATTCAAGAATTCCGAAGTGTGCAAATCCGCTAACATGTCAACATTTGCATCTGACTTACACACAGAATCAAAACTCAAGTATGTCTTACCCTCAGCCGGATTATGATCATTCATGTATTGGTTAACGGCATCTACCACATCCAATGTTGGAGCTAAAATTGCACTATCATTAAGATATGACAAATCGGCAATTCCCAGTCGGAAATTAGGGAATGTGCTATCAACAATTGTAGCAATAGGGTCATCCTCGCACTTCAACAACAAATGTTCTGGAACAGTAATCTCGGACTCACCATCAAGTTGACTACCAATAATTCCGTCACCTATATTAGCTATCCATTTTGCAAATTCCTCGATCTCCTTGCACTCATTTTCTTATTGAACACTTCTCAAACCTAGATTCTTAGTAAGCCTTAAGACTTTACAGGATTTCCAGAGATAAGATGAGCTAATGCTCGCTCGAACTATATCCGGTCTAGTACCCTTTGGAATGACTGGTAAAATTTGCCTGAAATCGCCCCCAAAAACAACTGTTTTACCACCAAATGTCATATCAGAACTCCTTGGATTTATGAAGCGCAACAGATCCCGCATAGTTCGGTCTAGGGCTTCAAAACAGAATTTATGCATCATTGGGGCTTCATCCCATATTATCAACTTGGTTTGCACAAGTAGCTCTGCCAGTTCACTGCCGTGACGTATGTTGCATGTGGAATCTTCATTAACAGCTATTGGTATAGCAAACCGAGAATGTGCAGTCCTCCCACCAGGTAATAAAAGCGAAACTATGCCGCTAGAGGCAACATTTAACACTATTTCACTCTTAGACCTTAATGCGGAAGAAAGTGCTCGCCACAAGAAAGTCTTACCGGTCCCTCCATAACCATAAACGAAGAATAACCCCCCTTCCTGGCGATCAATGTCAATTAACACTTCATTGTATATGACCTTTTGTTCTTCTGTTAACTGCCTTACCAATTCCTGATTCTCTTTCTCCTGTTCGCCACAATCGTATGCTAATTCTTCTTGAATAAACCTATTTGCAATAACGTTTAAGGCACCAAAATTTTCCGTTGGCATTTCAGGATAGTCCTTCAAACTCTTACCATGAGTAGATAATAGCTTCTCAATCTCTATTAAGGCAAAGTTCATCTTGTGCGAATCGGTCAACACAAAATCTGCATAAGTATATATAAAAATTTGGTGTTATAACACACCTACGTTAAACTTGACATAATATTGGGTTATCAGTAAGAATAAAATAAATTGAAAAATGTACGATTACCTCTGTTTTGCAGTTGTCTACGGACGTTGAATTGTGCATCGTCTGATAGATGTTGCCACACAGCATGCCAAACTATTTCCGGTTTCCCCATGCAACTGTTCATTAGCAATGTCACAAACAATCTCCTCAGTTGATCTGCTGACGCCCAATTACTGGCTTCATCTGTTGCATCAACATATTCGTTATCATCATCAACTAAACCCCTTGCATAACACGCATCTCGGAATGAGTCATATTGCACCCCATTTACAGTCCTAATATCTTCATAACTTTTAGGGCCACGGATTTTATTCAGCAAACACCTCAAATAGAAAATTTCACCAGTAGCTGGCGGGACATAGAATATACGTCCGATTGAGAAGCCTTTCTTCTGTGGCTGCTATTTTCTAAGGTCTTTCTTCCAAACTAATCGTGTTGGCATCTCAACATAAGTAAGTTCTCTTGCATCGGGGTATGTTTTATTTGCTTCAAACCATTCCAAAAACATGCTTTGTGCTATGGTAGGTCTATTAACAATGTTCCCAACAGCATCATCATCTGCAAATATCATACTCTGTTGATTAGGAAGGTGAAAGCTTAACCTTTCCACTGAAGACGCCCTAAGCTGTATATCAAAACCAAACAGACGCCAAACCGCTTCACATGGGGATATGTACCTACAGTCATAGTACATATTTATCTCATCTATTGCTTTGCCATTCTCGTCATCATTTCCTGTTTCGTAAAATTCGGTTGTCACCTGATCATGACCGTTGTTAACATACTTGAACAGGTACTTGATTGACCGTGACTGGTTGCACCACTCGACATTTATATGAGCCTTATACTTGAGCAATAAATATCTATTGTGCGGTACCACATGCCTGTTGTCCAAGGCGATCTCGTTCTTTGTAACTATACTGCCATTGTCTCTCCTTCTATATACCGGGTAACCATCGTCATCAAATGTAGAACTCTCAACAAATCTCTTAGGAAAATGTTTAGAGCATCGCGCATTTACCATACATGGAGAATTGGTCCTCGCTTTTCCACATGGACCATGCAGCATAAATTCCTCTACCGCTTGGTAATACTCTGCATCTTTCTTTTCATCTGGAATCTCTGCGCAAATTATGTTGTCTAGAGTAACAACTTGCCTAACTTCTTTACTTTTCTCCAAAAAAAAGTAATATATGAGCATGCGGAAGACCTCGCTTTTGAAACTCAATGGTATATATGACTGCAACAACATAGACATAAACATCATAAGGTTAAGTAATTAAATAAAATTGTAACAAACTTGATTTAAAATAAAATAACAAATATTACCTCCCGCCATAGGGCCAAATAGTTTATTCTTTCGATAATCAGCTATCAAGGCATCCAACTTCATCTTGAATAAGCGGCAAATTATGTCCGGCCGATCTTCTGCCTTCAACCTTTGATCTTTTAAAAAGCGTTGCACCTCAGGCCACTTTGGATTGCATGTAAAGGTTATAAATAAATCTGGGTATCCAATCCATCTACATATTGCCATTGCATCTTGGTAGTTTTGTATCATGTATCTAGCACCACCCGTAAAACTTGAAGGTAGTATTATTCTGCGACCTTGGGCTGCAGGGCTTAATTCACCCCTTGTTAAAGCATCAGTCAATCCACTGTAACTCTCACACCTTAGGCTTTTTTGGTGTGTCCTTATATAAATTAGTCTTCCAGACCTAACCATTGTGTATCCATCTACAACAAACTGTTGGAACAACCGCTTTGCAAATAGTATGGTACTCGGAGCTGACTGTCTAGACTGTATGCGGTAGCAAAAAAACTCCCTGGGACTAATCCTCTACCTACCACTTGAAGAACGCTTGCCTACTACGTTCGCGAATGCAATGTCTTCCCGATAACTGTCTTCGCCATATGGAAACAAAAGAGGGTATTGCAGTGGTAAGTATGAATGATTTAATTCACTTATCCTCTGTAGGTGGCCACCCTTAGATTGAACAATAATATCACGCTCGCCAATACTGGTATCCAAATCTCCCACAACTAAAGCTGCTACTTCAGACACTTGCAGCAGATTATATGTCCTCGCATCTTTAGTTCGTTTTCCCAACAACTTTATTTTTACTTCAGCGCATGGGTTAATATCCAGCTCAGACATAGCCATCCGAAAAGACTTAACCAAAACATTATTTTCATCGAGGTCTTTCTGAATGACATTCACTATTTCTACATGAATGTCATCTTGCTCACCACTACCCCTACAACAACAAAAACTTTGCATTGATATTTATTTAGATAACCAATAGTATTTAATGTGTAATTACGCAAACTTGTTTACCTCACAGCATTTATACGGTTGTTCTTTTCATTTGCCGTGTCGTATATGTATAACTGAGCAAAATGAGGTTCTTTGCCTTCTTCTGGAAGTAGAGTGCCCATTAGGTGATAGTTTTGTCCACTTAATCGAAAAATTGGAGATGCGCCTCCCTTGTTCACGTTCTTGTCAATTTTTCCTCCCATGGATGTGAAGCAGAACATGTTGTTGTATGTCTTGATGTTGTGTAAAAATTCTTTTGATAATTCGTCATTGCCGAAAAAGAGATCAAATATACCTTTTGGTGGCAACTTATTCTCTGGCAACTTGATCTTCCCATTGTTGCAACACAACATAAACAGTGGCGATGCTTTTGTTGACAAATTCTTCTTCCTTTCTTCAAACCAAAACAGAGCCCCACAATGGACGCATTTATTTGTTGCATCACCAAAATCGCAGTATTGACCTGCAACCAAATATATACAAAATTATATACTGATTGATATTTTATGCAGTTATAAACCAACTATACATACCATGTTGTTGACCAGAGGATGTTCCAATATCCGAGGTCTGCCTTACATCGTTAATCGATATATCCGCATCTGAAATTACAAATACATTTATAAATCAATTTTAATAGTTGAAGGTTTGCAATTTTACTTTTCTTATAGTTGTTTAAAAATCAGCAAATTATCTTATTACCTGCTATGTACTGATTTGGGGCTTCGATCATTTTAGGGTTACATTCATCTTCAAAGGCAGATAGCAAGTCTCTTTTTGTTACATGGTCTTCGACAATTGCAAAGTTATGTAATGGTTTACGAATTGCAAATTCATCTTGTGTTATGGTCGATGCAGGTTTTTGTTTATCTCCAAAAACAAATCGCTGGCAATTGCTTGAGCATATTTGTGTCTTGGACGAACCTACTGTACACATACGTAATATTAGACGAATTTAAAGTATAACGATATTTAAAGCCACAATTAATTTAAATACCTACATTTTAGGGAATTATAAAAAAAAGTAGTTGGTAGCACATAATAACAAAATAAATTACAGAAGTTAAAATATTATAAATTAAGTACACCTAACATTATTACTTATGCTAGCCGAGAAGATGAAATTGTAATTTCACTGTATAAGTATTATATTTTAGTGGAAAAATTATTAGGTAGACCATGGTCCACAAAAATTTGTGCACCCTAAATACCATTAGAATTAAAAAGTATATATCATTAATACCAATCTAATCAATTAATTACACATAACAAAAGAAATTTAACTATTGTAAAGAAAAAATTAGAAATTGATATTAAAATGTAAATAATATGAAGACAAATTAGTGCAATTACAATTCCACGCAGAGTTCTATGGACCATGAGTTACATTATAATTATAACATTTAATTTGACAAACAATTTTTAAGAATTAAAACTATAAGGATATTTAAATTCACAATGAATGTATATCAATTCATCTTAGGGGATTTACCGTTAGTGATGTTACTCAATGGTGTGATATTTTGAGACAAACATCCTCCAAAAGGAATTCGGGAAGGATTAGTTGCTGTAGGTTGCAGTTTACCTTGAGCAGCATTATTCCTAAATGATGAGTTGCCGAAATAATTTGCTGTGATATAAAATATAACATTAAAATAAGAATTAATTCCAAGAATTAAAAATCGTAAAAATTAAGTACACATAACATAAATAATTTGTCAATTGCACAACATTAATATGTAATTGCTAAAAATTTGGCTAATATTATAAAAGAAAGTAGTGGGTGTGACCTGGAGCTTTTCAGCTTCTTTACTATGAAGAAGACTATAATAAAAAAAGTAATTACAGCAGGTAGACCATGGTCCACACAACTTTGTGCACACTAAACACCATTAGAATTAAAAAGTATATATCATTATTCACTAATACCAATCTAATCAATTAATTACACATAACAAAAGAAATTTAACCATTGTAAAGCAAAAATTATAAATTGATATTAAAAAGTAAACCATATGAAGACAAATTAGTGCAATTAGAATTGCACGCAGAGTTGTATGGACCATGAATTACATTCTAATTATAACATTTAATTTGACAAACATTGTTTAAGAATTAAAAGTATAAGGATATTTAAATTCACAATGAATGTATATCAATTCATCTTAGGAGATTTACCGTTAATGATGTTACTCAATGGTGTGATATTTTGAGACAAACAACCTCCAAAAGGAATTCGGGAAGGATTAGTTGGCGTAGGTTGCTCTTTACCTTGAGCAGCATTAGTCCTTGATGATGAGTTGTCGAAATAATTTGCTGTGATATAAAATATAACATTAAAATAAGAATTAATTCCAATAATTAACAATCGTAAAAATTAAGTACACATTGTTATAAATATTAATGGTGGCCATTATTTTGTAACATTTGTAACAGACATATTAATGTCTCATTATGTATGTCATTATTATTCGGTATTATATATATGTATTGTATGTG